TTCCTATCAAAATAAATGAGAAATAATAAATTTTCCACAACTGTAAAACTCGCTCAAAAATCCCAGTTAAACTAATTTTCCCAGCCCCTATTTCAACCCCAAATTGTAAACACAAAAAAAACTTAAAAGAAAACAATAAAAAACACAAAAATTGAGGAATTTCTCAGCGCAAAATAGCCAAAGAAAAAAAGGATCAGCAAGGATTCTCCAGTGCTACACTAATCGTTTATTATGATCAACGGAGCTGCTGAATCAATAAAAACGAAACGAAAACGAAGCGCCTACTTCAGGACATGTCATCGTCCTGTTCTCATTCTAGGTTCCCATTCTCGGATCCCATGGCAACCTGTTTCACACAGGGTTGCTTGCTCGCTTGCTTGGATGTCCTTTTGTGTGTGCGTTGGAGTGTTACCGTTGCTGGCCGTGAGAATTGAGAATTCAAAGAGGGGCATGGGCATGAGCATGGCCATAGGGGTAACAGGTTCAGGACCTGCCCTGTACAGGTATGCAAAAGTCAAATTTGTTTGCTATGGGAATTTGTCGAAGGTGTCTGTCCTTTGGCTTGGGAAAGTCTTTGAGTGCCAGTGTGTGGTGTGTGTGTTCGAGTGTGTGTTTTATGCGGTGGGAATTCGCTGAGCTCCTTTTGTTTGGTGTGAATTTGATGGAAACTCTGAACTCGGAAAATTGTGGGCGGTGAGAAGATGAGAGATCAGGAAGAGTTAGGCGATGGTTTTGAGGAAGTTCCCAAGGAGTACTTGTTAGGGAAAGTCATTTTGTTTGCTGATATTTTTATAGAGATTAGTGAATTATTGATAAATTTTCTTGGGGCTAACCTTAACTAACTTAAATATATTGTAAGGAATGCCTACCTTAATAAGACCCTCCCATAGAGTACTTTCAGCCCCTGAGTTACCATCTAAAAATCAAAATAAAAGACATATTTAAAGAAGCAGCCTATCCTCAAATTCTATAAGATTTTTATTTAAATTTCTTTCTCTTCCCTTAACTTTAATAAACCCTAAATAAATTCTAATTTATTTTCATTTTCACAAGCCAAATGTTTCCGATTTCTGCTAATTTCCTGTGCACGCCCTCAGGCCAACATTTTGAGACATTTCACACAAATTTCGTGCACTTCCTTCCGGTGAGCGGAAGAAACCGAAGAAAAGGAGCACATAAGGGCAACCAGCACGCAAAAAGGATATTCACCAGCCAGCCAGCCAGCCAGACAATAAATAGAAATCTAAATTGCAAAATATGGGCCACGGCCTGTGGGAACCAATTTGATGTGGGCCCACCCTCGCATCATCGATAAGATCGCTCAAAAAAGGGCCCAAAAGGAGGTGCTGAGAAAATCTCGTTTGTTGTGGCAGGGGCAGAGGATTCCCTTTTGTTTTCGCCTGGGAGAAACATTCAGCTTGTTTGTGCTCGAGAACAGGTTAACAGGTCTTTAGCTCAGAGATCAGTCAGGATTAGGCTGATGGATATCTTGAGTGGGTGGTCAGCGATGATCTGGAAACCATTGGGCGAGGGAATGGAGCATGTTCGCTGTCCCATAAATCAGAGAAGGACTTCGATTTCATTTGCATTCCAGTACAAAAATATAGGTTTCCTAAGGACTTTAAGGACTCTGAGAAAAAGGATAATGAAATACGAACTAATGAAATAAAATGAAATGAAATGGTAATTTGATACGCGCACACTTATGGAATGCGTTTCTCAAGGAGTAGCAGGTAGTCTAGCGAGTCCTTCGTCCTTTGTCTGAACTCACATTGGCGCATCGAATGGCAATGCAAGCAAACAGATCCTTGGCCCCGAAGATCGATCGTTATCCTTGCTAGAGGAGCGTTAATTAGATTTGCACCGAGCGGTCTCGATCAAAAGGCTCAGTGGTCAGTGAGAGAAAATCGGGAAAAATCTCAGATACACACCTGTGGGAAAGGACCCCACGCAGGACGACTACATGCACTTGCACACATCTCTTGGTCTCTCTCTGCAGGACGTTCCATTGACTGACCTTTCCTTTTCCATTTAATTCCCATTGTTATTTGCAGTTCCTTTTATTAATTTGAAGTGCCCGCACTTCATGCAACTGTTGCGCTTGGTTTCATTTCTTCCTTCCTTCCGGAAGGATGGCTGTTCTGTTGGCTCCTTTTGTCCTGGCCAGGCACTTCCTGTGGGTCAATTTGGAACCCTGCGGCCAAAACAATCTATTGTTAATTAATTATGCTGGTCAAGCAAGACGCCTGGGAAGAGGAAGTAACGTTGGCTGCCAGGTAATCATTAAAGGAAAGTAAGGATATTTATGAGGTAGGTATATCATCTGGGGGTTGTTAAATCTACACGAAAAGTTATAGCCACTTGTAAAAGTTCTAGAATTTATAAGACATTTTAAGTTTACAAGTAATTGGTTATACGGGCAAGGTAACTAGATCTTATCTGATGATCTTAAACCAAAAAATCATGACAATATCGCTTGTTTTAATTATTGTTGAATTTAAAGTTCATAAATAATGAAATGATTTTAATTATTTATTAATTTCAAATTCTAAAAAATAATAATAAACTAAGCTTTTCAAAGTTAAACAGATAAGCTAATATATCGTAAAATAAGTTCATTTTATGTTAAATAAAAAAGTTTTTATGTTTCTTTCGAGTCTAAAAATCCAATATATGTATATTACAAAATTACTTTATTTTATTTTATATTTTATATAATTTTTATTTATTTATTAATTTAGCAAATTAAAAAGATTGCATTATAACTTTATCTATTCACTAAGATGGCGCCCTCTATCGTTTATCTACACAAGCAGCCTTCTACATACCTTTAATACTTAGAGCAACAGCGCCATCTGTGTGTCGTCTTCCATAATGTAGAGGCTTCTTTTAGTTCTGCATTTTACTGATAGATGCCGCTGGTATGGGATTCCCCTTAAGTAGTTGTTCATTGTTTGCGTTTAATTAAATAATTATCATGTGAATCATAATATCATATGGGTAATATTAAAAATAAGTGATAAGTTTTTGAACTTTAATTTTAAGTACAATTTTAAGCAAAAAGCTAAGATTTGTGGTATAGTTTTTGTTAAGTTTTGGATAGTGTTGGGTACTAAAAGATTTAAGTTATTTATTTAAGAGTTGAAAATGGATGATAAATGCTTTTCAAAACAATGCTTTATGGCGTTTTATGTTCACAATTTAAAAATTTAAAAATTAGTTTTTATATAATTAAAGAAATTCCTGAACCTTAAACCTTATATGTAACATATGTGAACTTAGTACACGCTCCTATAAATTTCATAATTCAAATGGTCACATATTTTTATCCCCTCCACCCCTCCCCTCTGTTACTGAACGACCCTTTCAAGGGTGCAGCAACCTCCACTCACATGTGCCATCCCCCCACTGCGCAAAAACGAAGTCCTACAACTGTCGCTTTTTGCGGTGTCCCCCCTTGGTAGAACTCACACCTCTACGCCCGTGAAGACCCCCTCTGTTATATATTTTTTATTTTGCCAGAAGGTTTTTCCTTTTCCTTCTCCTTCGAAATTCATTTTAATTCGTTTTTATTTCTTTTTAATTTTTATTACATTTTCGTATATTAGCTTTGACTTTGCTTTAGTTGTATCCACTTTGAATTATTTGCTGTTTGTTTTCCCCGCTCGCTTTTCCGTGGGAGGGGCGAAAAAGAAAAAAAATATGTGGAAAATAGAAAACGGCATAAGATTTTTTTTCCACCAGCATTGTTCCCAGGACTTCTGGGTGGAGAATGGACGTCTAGGACCCTGCTCTCCTGGTCCGCTTTTGTAGTTATTGTCCAACGTTGACTGTTTACGCCGAATGCTCTGTGCCACGTCGCGATCCGCGGAGTAGGAAATTAAAAATGGCGAAATAAAGTTAAATTTTTTATGGCTTGTGCAAATAAGTCACTGGAAGGCAGTCTAGCATTTGCGGGCGGCTTGGCTTGGGGTTGGGGTGGAAAAATCCGTGGAAAATCCTGCCGGCCAGCAGCCGATGTGCCCCGCGTGTAGCTCATCGCTTGTTAAGCAAGAAAATAATATTAGCATTAAGCGTTTGTCTCTGCGCCTCTGACAGGCATCCTGCTATCTGTCGGAGTCCCTCTGAAGTTTTCTCCCTCTCTTTTTCCTTTTTTCTGCTCTTTTTTTAGATATTTATTTTACAAAATGGGCGACAAACTTGCCTTCATTTTTTTTTTTGGTCCACCCTTGGTGTTCCTGTAGTTTGTGTGCTCGCCTCTTTTTGCTCATATGGAGCACATCCAATTAAGCAGCTCGCAAAGTGGTCTAAAAAATGAGTTCTGATGGGATGAGCTTTTGGCGGGCGACGACGCGACTGGTGCGAAATTGTGGACTTTAAAGAGATCTCGGGGAATTGGGTTTAATGACTGGATGAGAGAGGCTTACAGGTGAGTTAATGGGGAAATTGAAAATGAAGCAATTGCCAAATCTTTATGTTTTTATTATTAAAAATTTCTGAAAATGGTTATGTGATAATGTTTATAGTCTGCAAAAAAATGTCAGAAACTTAAAAATCCCAGAAAAGAAAACATAAAAACGATTACACAAGACAGTAACCCACCTAGGACCTACCTCAACTGTTAACCCATGAAGTTCTCTTTTTTTATGGTCACTTCCCCCAACCAATTTCAAAGTGTTCCAGATTTGGAAAAACCGGTTTTTGGATTGACACACTTGCACTTTCTTTCGATTAGCCGCCAAAGGCTATCGTGTGCCGGCTGCTTGTGTTTTCTTTCTTTTCGTTTGTGGTAACAATTTTTGGGATTTCTTCAAGACCCTAATTAACTGGTATTTAAGGCAGGAACAGAGAGGGCGTAGGCGTGCCAAAAGAGGTGTTGAGTGACTGGCATGGCGATGTAGGTAGATCGCGTGATCACTCTCAAGTTAACTTCATCATTCTTAAGAGGCTGTCTTCGGCGGAACTGGCTCAGTACCGCGTTAGACTTCGTGGCGATCGTGGATCATGTGGATTTTTGTGCTTTTTATAACTCTCTTAAAAGTGTTCTGTGTCAAGGGGATTTTTGAACAGTGTAACCATCAGGTGAAACTGCAATCGGGTCAGAAGCTACTCATCAACTCACCCTATTACCCGGCTCTGTATCCTGTGGGCACTTCCTGCCGCTACTCCGTAGAGGCTCCCAAGGATCACGTGCTGCAATTCAAATGCGACCTCCAATTGCAGACGGTGAGGCAGTGAAGTGAAGTTTACCATAAAGTCTGATATTCCAAGAACCAAAGCTTAGATTGACACCACTGTAGTTCCCCTTCAATCAATACCAACTCACACAGCTTGATATTCCGCAGCTTTCCACGGACTTGAAATGCCGCACGGAGGTGTTCCACTTCAATTCCGAGGGCAACGAGGTGTTAACAAGTTCCGAATACTTTTGTGGCAGCGGCAAGTTCGAGCGCAAAAGTTTCCTCAATCGTGCGGTGATTTCGTACATATCCAATGGACATTCGGAGACGCCCTCAGCCGTCAAGTTAAAGGATAAGCTTTCGGCGGGAACAGCAGCTACGAGTTCCACTACCGAGTCGCCACAAGTTGCATCGATTGAGGAGCAGGACGACGAAGAGGAGGAGGAGGAGGAAGAGGAATCGGAGAACTCAGAGGAACCCGAGGAGAACCTCAGTGACGAGGTTCTGCACGTGTTGCAGGATGTGGGCGTTAGTGATGCCCTGGCCTATGTGGCCTCCCTACTCTATAACGATGACGAGTCCAGAAAGTCCAGCACTGCTATTTACCTCGATAAGTTGCCAACTCGCAGCAGCTCAAAGACTTCCGTAAAACGTGCCCGGATTGTTTCTAGTTACCCTCCGTCACCTGGTCAGAGCGGAGGTGGAGGAGGCGGACGCTTCACCTGCCTTGTGGAGGCCTTTCAGCCCACGTGCAGCTGCGGCTGGAGTCGCTTTTCTCGGATAGCCAGTCCCAATAACGAGGAGGCCATCCTGCACGAGTTCCCACCAATGGCTGGTGTCCTGACCAAGAAGCACGGAAAGATCTTCTGCGGCGCCGCGATCAGTGAGTTACGAAATTATTTCTGAAGGAGTTTCTTTAACTAAAAGTTTACTTCCTCCCACTCTTGCTGCAGTTCATCATCATTACTTGCTCTCTGCCGCTCATTGCTTTCTTGGTCCAGAGACAAACAGTGCCGCCAAGCTGCGGGTTGTGGTGGGTGAGCATGACTTGGCCAGTTCGTATGAGACCTTTGCTACCCGTCGCTATGACCTTGACACCCTGATCCTGCACGAAGATTTTAGCCAGGCAAATGGACAGCCTAGGAATGATATAGCCCTGCTCAGGACACGAACTGCCATAATTTGGAGTCGCCATGTGGGTCCTGCCTGCTTGCCACTGCAACCTACAGAGGATGGTAGGAAACTTCCTTTGGCTGGAGACCAAGTAGTGGCCGCTGGTTGGGGCACCACTTCCTATGGTGGTCCACAGACCCATCGCCTGCTGAAGGCCACATTGGATGTGATCGATACCCAGAGGTGCAGGCAGACTTTGATCTCCACGGGAGGAGTTCCCGCACACACCTTTTGCACTTATACTCCTGGAAGAGACACCTGCCAATATGATTCCGGAGGAGCTCTTTACGAGCGGATCAATGGACGCCTAGTGGCCGTGGGCATCGTCAGTTTTGGCCAGGGCTGCGCTACCCAGCAGCCATCGGTCAATACTCGCGTCGCCTCCTTCATCAAGTGGATACGCACCAAAAGCCCCGAAGTGGCATATTGTCCTGGCAGGATATAGTAGCAGCAACTACTTTGATTTATGTGCTTATAGTAAGGCTAAGAAAGTATTTTACAGATAATGGAAAAATGTATTTGATTAATGGGTAATCGTAAGGGGTTCTTGTAAAGGGAAATATGTTGAAAGATGAGTAAGGAAGTCATTTTTCCGATGACAATATAATAAATTTGTTAGGCAATCTAAAGAATCTGTGGCATTTTCCCATGAATATATGTTATAGATCTTCCCCCACCTACCTCCCTTACCATCGCGTTGAGCCACTTAACACCCGTAAGTGGGTGTCAAGTTTGTCGCTTTGCCTGAACGCTTTTCATATCGAATAAATATCAGCACCAGCAGGTGGATGGTGGATGTTCCTACCACTCGGCTGTCAATCATGCATGCGAATGGTAACGCCTCGATGGAGCTCTATGTCCTCCGCCTGAGGCATTGCAATTAAGCGCAAATGTCAACTAATTAACCTCGGGGGCTGCGATTGCCAGGCATAACCCTTCACTCTCCTAACCAAAGGGGGGTAGTCATGTCAATAAAATTTCTTTTCATTTGGTTGATTTTTTGTTTACAGCCAGTTGGAATCTTCCATTCAGATAAATAATTAAACGTTTCGCATAACAGATGAAGCTCGCTTTTAGGCTTAAAGGCAATACGAATCTCGTCTGGCGGCGGGTGCATCTTTTTATTTGATTTTTCTGAAGGACTCCGGTAGCTTGTTTTTTGTTTCTAACCGTTGCACTTTTTCAATGCTTCCTCCCCTCCCCGTTGCCTTGTATTTTGTGTATATCTATCTATCTATCTATCTAACTGTCTAGCTAAGCTCGCCTGCATTTCCCAGTTGTGTTGCAATGTCTGTTTGTGCCCCACTGTTTGTTTTGCAGTTTTGGGTTCCTGGCTGCGCTGGTAGCGGGTTTCTGGTTCCTGGTTCCCAGTGACTTGCAAGCCTGTTGTTCAATTTACGTAAAACGCGGCCAGAACAGAGCAAACCAACGTCAACTGCAGTCGGTGGATTCGTATCAAGTGTTGCCTGGGATTGGCGGCTTCGCATAGAAATGGTTAGGTGGGGGTGGTGGCTAGGTGGCGGGTGCATAGGGGGAGTGCCTGCTTTCCATACTCTGGTGGCACTAATTGAAAAGCAGCAGCCACTAACAGCAGTCGTCGCCAAAGGGCTGTCGAGGGATTGGGTTTAGGGACCGATGCTACAGTAAAAATGTAATAACTTTGATTAATCCGGAAGTAAAGCTATGGGAGGTGCTTCTAATCGGTGGAAAAGAGATGGTTAGGAAAGTATTTCGAAATTTTAAAGCAAAAAGACGAAAAGTAAAAAAAGAAACTTTCTTGCTTTTAATAAGATTTTAAAATACAAATAAACGAAAAAATAATAAAATTGAAAAAATTAAAATTCTTTTCTTGAGGAACTCCCTAGCGGTTACCCACTGTACGAAGAAAGCCAATGCGCAAAACACTTTTTACTCGCTGCTTTTTTTCTGGCAATTTCCTTTGCATACTTTTGTGCTGCATTTGATTACAAAATGGCGGGCGCTGTCCTGGCTACTCCTGACTGCTTCTCTGCCGTTTCTCCTGCTGTTCCTGCTGCTGCAACAGGAGCCGTTGCACTCGTAATGCAGCCTAAACATTGCGTTTAGTTTTCGTTTTGCAGCAGCTACATACAACATGCTGCTGCAATCGCCTGGACTTTGACTATTCATTAGCGTATGTGTGTGTGTGGGAGTGTGTTGGAGTGTATCTGATGCAGGATGAGGGCCGAAAAAACTCTAACAAGCTCAAAAAGCAATTTGCGCGAGGGGCTGGCTAAAAAATTGGTAAAAATATCGACGTGCCCGGCTCATGCAATTGACGTTTTGCGGGTGTGTGTGTGTGGGTGTAGGATTTTCGCGGACTAGGGATTGGGGCCTGTTACATAAAACCACGCGTTGCACAAAAGCCGCCAAATCGTCGTCGCTCAAAAAGCCCCAGCAATGAAAATACAAAATGGCCGACCTATACGGAAAACTTCGATGTTCTAAAAAACTATTTTAACTTTAAGAAGTACTCAAAAAGTAAGGAAGTCCCTAAGCCAGATTGTACAGTTTTTATACATATTATTTCTGTTTTAAAACTTAACCAATAGAATTATCCTGAAATTCCAAGAGAATCTGCTTTTTGGAACCGCTTTACAAATATTTTGCTAACCCTCAAAAGTAAATTCGGTTTGTGGTCAGAAATTAGTAAGCATAGCAGTCCTTTTTTCAGCACATAGCCACTGTACACACGACTGGGCCAATTAAATCCATTTACATCACAAAAATCGAATACGAGAAACCAGTTTATTTCTAGATTCAAAATCGAAATTAAAAGGTATTAACCAGGACTAGGCTTATGCTTTTGGGTTATGTGTAGAATATCAAATGGGAAAGAGAATTTTAGTCATTAATTTTATAAACTTTATGATAGTTTAAAGATAAATGTAAATCATATGCCTCAAACTTGGAACTTAAAGCTACGAAACAAGCTGAAAATATTCTATAAATATTCTGAAAAACTCAATCAATTTCACATTAAATTTTTAACATTATAGTAAGCATTCCTTATAAAATCACAGACAATAGTTAATTCTTTTCGGCTTAGATAAAATTTGAAATAACAGTGAAAGAATTCTCGGATTCTTTGTACCCTTGAACCCCCCCTTCAACCTTAGCCATCATGTCTTTGGGTCGATCTCTTGGTGGCTGGATACTTACCACCTCCCCCCACAGTAGAAATTTGCATCAAAGAAGAACCCGACGACCATTTCCTGTGGTCCCAGATGCCAGAATGAATGCCCCAGTGCAGTCCTCACGTCCACCTCGTATTCTGGTCAAGAGCTTCCTGGCTCTCCACGAACTGGACTCGGTGTACATGAAGGATGCTCCTCGCGATCTTAGGGACTTCTTTATGTCGAATTGGAAGATTGTGAGGACTTGAGCTTCGACTGGACTCAGATGGAAACTGCCTTTCGTATTGCTAAATCCAAAGATGTGAAAGAAGTAGACAATAAATTTGTTATTTAGTTTACATAAACAAAGTCTACATTCCTAGATGGCTTTGATTTAAGAATCATTTAAAGCTGAACGAATCTCGTAACATTCACTTATTGACAACACTATGAAAATCTGGTTTTACTTACTTTGGTTAACCTAAATTTTAAAAGTATTCTTGAAGCATCGTTAGCACAACCTCCTGTCGCATAATGATCCTGGGTCGGGCCCTGATCGGATACCAGATTTATAAGACGGACAAATGCTTAGAACAGCGTCGTCAAATGTCAAAGCAGAGGTCGCCCTACGCTCGAAGATCTGTGCCCGTGAAGATCAAGGAGCGCAAGGGCTCGTGGACCGATTTGAAGAGGCCGCCCTTCCTGTTGGTCAATAGTTTTCTTAACCTGCGCCACATGGACCTTGATAACGGACAGGATATCGTGCGAGTTACGGAGGAGCTAAGTTTCCAGCCACACAGGACTCTCTTCATCAACATCCTTCGATTGCCGAATCATCGCCTTACGGAAACCGACAGTTTTGCGGAGATGATGGTAAAAAGTCAAGTAGTAACGGACTCTATTTAAGAGTCGTGAGTGTGGGTAAACAGTTCAATGGAAAAGAATGTATCTTATTAAAGATTTTTTATATTAAATGTCCTTTTTTCCTATCATTTTTTATGGTGTCAGTTTTGAGATAAAGTTATTGGTTGGGAAGGGAAAATTAGTTCCTTCGTTTTAAAGATTTAGATACAAGGCGGTTTATTATCTAGTAGATTTAGTTATTATTAATAACCAAAACCACATGTTTATTGTATTGTCTTGTAAATAATATTGCAATTTGATCGGTCGCTTAAGCTTGAACCGCATTTCTGGCCACATGAACCTGGTTACTGTACAATATATATAGTTTATGATTCTAACCATGCTTTCAGATGCATGTTTATCGGTTAGTTAGCCCATGAAGATCCCAATTCTAAAAGAGAAGCACCGAGCGGAACCCTCCTAGATATCGTAAGTTCCATAAACCATTCGTCGCCGGAAGTCCGCCCAGCGGTACCGTGGATTCCGGAAACGAATCGTCTGCCTTTCATCGCGCTCCTGCGTCTGCTCCTGGTGCTTCTGGAAGCTTCTAACGAAACACCGCGGAGCATGATGATACTCCGGATTGGGTTCATCTCGCTGATAGCTCAAGTTCTCGTAGTCCTTATTAGTTTCCTGTTTCCATCCCGTCGAATAGGCCAATCTTCCAGTCATCCGACAGGCAGAATTGCGAACTTCCAATCTCAAATATGTGGATATGGCCGAAAGGCTTGGTTTGGTCAGTAGCATTTTGAGAGATCTTTTTTGGTTTCTAAGGATTTGGTTAGAAGATGGTGGTCCGGATACCTCCGATTTTGGTATAGCCAACAGCTGGATGGTAGTCCTTCGGTGATGGCTTCTTAGTTTTGGCCGAAAGTAGAGAATATAAATTTATTGCTTATTTATTGTGTTTGTTTGTCTGTCAAGTGAATGGAACGTAGAAAAAGTGAACGGAGTGAAAAGGTTTTGGGAAAAGTGGTGAAAGTTAACAATGGGGTTACTAAGCCAAAAAGTGGAAGAAAAGAGGTTAAAATACGAAGCTGAGTTTTGTAGAGAAACTAAAAAGTTTTTAGGTTTTGAAAAAATCCTTTAAAAATTCTTTAAAGCTGATCTTTCGTTTTTTCTCTTATTAACTTTTATGATGAGTTTAGCTGATATATCTTTATATGCTTAAGGTCTTTTTTTTTCATTCTGTTCCCCCCAAATCACTTTACCTTCAACAACTTGTCGTATTGCCTGCTCTCGAGACCAAAGCACAAAACATAATTAAACAATTAAAAAGCCTTTTGGCTCGCGTCCTTACTTAGCCCAGTTCGCAGGATGGCCCTAACATCAAAGCCGTAAAAAAAAGAGTTTTTCGCCTAATTACGCCACCAAGTGCAGTGGATGAAAAAGGAGAAAATTGCAAAATGCAAATTTGCAACAAGGCAATAAAAAAATATACATCAAAATTAACTGGCAACAATGAGAGCGGAGTGGCAAAATCACAGCATTTGCGGGGCAAGTTAATTGTGCAACTTTGAAGTGAAAAAGAAGGATTGCTAGGGATAAGGGGAAATGCAGAGAAAGAAAATTATTATAATTAATAAAAATTATAGATTAAAAAAATATAAAAAGTAAGACTAACTTATATAGTTTTCCAGATTTTAAGTTGATTTTTTGATATATATTTTTAGCTAATATTTTCTAGTATTTATATTTTAACTTAGTATTTCTCTCAGTGCCTGCTAGTGGGACAGTGCTTTTGCATGAAAAGTGGCTGGACCCTCAGCAGTCTAGTCCCTTGCTGTAATCCTTGCTGCTCTGCAGTTTTTTTTTCCTGCCACCGCTGGCTGCCCATTGATTTTTTCTATATTATAAAATTTATGCTACCCGCTCTGCTTTGTTGCACTCTTGTCTCTGCCACCACCCATCCAGCCATGCCCCCACCCCTTGTGCACTTCATTTTCAGCCTTTGCTTTTTTATAGTCATTTTGTTGTTGTTTTGTTTTTGCTTTTTTTTTTTTTATTCTGCATTTTCACATTTTTCCCAAGCGCTTTTGAGCTTTTGTTGTCGAGTGCGCGCCAGTGCCACCCGAGCCAAAAAGAAAGGGGCTTGACAATAAAAATTATGAAGCATATTACTTGAGTGCACTTGGTTGCCTCTCTCCATTCTTTCTCCTTTTGCCACTTTTTTTTTTTTTTTTTGAGCCATTGGTCCTTGGTCCTTGTTTGTGTTTCCTCAGAGCCGAAGGATGCGAAGGCATGCCAAAGTATGTCGCTAGTTTTTGGCTGGAGAGCAAACTTGCGTGTTAAGTAGGAAAAAGGGTTAAGAATACTTGGGATAATAATAAAAATGGAATGGAAGGGGGGTTAGATAAGTGAGGAAATTCCTTTGTTATGTATTCTTAGGAAAAGTATATTAAAGGTTAAGATGAGGAAGGAAACTATTGAGATTATTAAGGCTAGTCAAAGTTATAATACGGTTAAAGATCAACATTATCATGCTTTTTGGCAAACTTTAGAAGGAGTTCAAATACCTCCATTTACCCCAAAACCTCTTTCTTTCCTTTACTTAGTAATTTATTTGTTTAATTTAACATTCATTTGGTACTTTGTGAGGTTTTGTGGTTTAAAAAGTCATAAATCTTGATAAGGTTATTCCAACCTGATCAAAACAAAAAACTTTTTAGACCACAAAACTCAGAAAGAAAACCCTATAGCCCAATCCCAAGCCATAAGTCCTGCTAGTAACTCCCGTAGATCATCTTTCGCCTGAACTCAGACCAAATGTAACTGCGGGTGAAGCAACTTCTTTGCCTCTTGCAAAACTGACGTAGATACTCCTTGTTCCTGCGATTCTTTTCCGTGGGAGACATTCTATAGCTCCGACTGGGTAGTATATCCATTTCCAATTTGGCTGGGAGTTCACCCTTCCGGAAGTAAACGAAGGGAATGGTGCGACGCAGTTCCGGATGGACAAAGACGCCGGGTTCTTGGTATACTTTCTGATGGGTGTGAAAGCCACGGGCTAGGCAGCGACCCTGGGCAGTAAGATTCTTGAGAATTTTGAACATTTTTAAATATTAAATAATTTTTTAGTTTATTGTAAAATTGTTTTGGCATCCCAAAAGTATTTGGGATGTATGAAGGCAAGGCTGCTAGGTTTGGGGTTTTATTTAAAGGGAAAACTAGATTTAGACTTGTTCTTGATTTATTTTTAATAACAAATTATGTAATAACAGTAACCATATCTTCTTTTAAGCTAATAAGAATCATTTCTATCCTTTCTAACCACATTTCTCACCCTTATTTAATCATAGCATTATCGTAGTTCTTATTTTAAGACTTAATTTATTTGTTAATTCTTGAAATACATGAAATTTTCGGTATCCAATGTATGCACATCAATGGAGTAAAGTTGTTGTTGTCTTCATCAGAAGGATACAGCACCTCAGGATGCCTAGTAGCAAGTACGGCCATAGATCATGGTATGCCTGAACTCGGCCCAGCGAGTGCGATGTCTGCGATAGGAGTTGTACGGCGAGATGACCTTTCGGGAGATGGAGTTTCTTGGTGTCAGACCCTCTTCTTGCTTAGAGGCGGTGGCGGTGACCCGCTGGAGTAGTTCCTGCGCCTCCCTAGCTCGATCCAGCTCCTCATCGTAATTGTCCTCCGGCGGACCGAAGACTGCTTCCCGAACGGAACGAATCTCCAGATCAGACTCATAGTCATGATCTTCATCCTTGGCCTCTGGCTCACGACCAAGCTGCTCCTCATAATCCTCCTGCTGTTGCTGCTGCTGCTGCTCCCTGGCGTGTGCATCCGCTAACTGCATCAACTTGGCATCCCTCCTCTTGGCCGCATTCTGCGCAGCCACCACATTGTTACGCTGTGATCCAATCTCATCCGGTTTGACCACGGGTCGAAACATGGCCGAGTCCAGGTGATAGACATTGTTGCTCCACTGGCGATGCTGTTGCCTCTGCCTAAGGAGCTGGACAGCGGCAAAGCTCTCCTCTCGCACGGGCCAATCCTTGCCTTGAGCCTTCTCCAGGCCCAAAATGGTGGTCAATGAACGTCGGCCATCGATAAGACTGCGTCTAGCCAAATGACGAATCATTGGTAGGTTTCTAACAAACAATGGCATCTCTATGGTCTGGTTCCCCCAAATTTACTATTTAAACGGAATAAAATTTGTATTTGATTGGGATTCCACTAAGCCGAAATTGGATCCACAAAAAAAAATTTGAAAATGATAAAAGTCAAGCGCTTGGGCGAAACAAATTTTGGTTAACTTTAGGGGAAAACTACTTCAAAACTGAAAAGTCCCAGAGAGACAAACGTTGAAGTTTTCCCAAAGCCAATGACACTAATACCAATGTTTACTCAGTTTGGGCCAAAAAATCTTTCCCTTTCTTCTTCAATAGATATATATATAGATATAGATATAGATATAGATTTAGATATATATATATATAGGCTGCTGCGAAAACAAATAACATAATTTATTTACGGCCAGAAGGAATTCAATTTGATTGCGACTCGAGACTTTCGGGGCAATTTAAACAACAAAGCCAAAATGAAAATCATAGACCAAGAACACAATTTGCCATCGTCACATGAACATTTATTAATTTTGCATCAGCTGCACTAGTGCGAGGTCCTTTTTCGGTGGTATGATAAGAAGTTCTGCCTGGCCTGAATTTAACGCAATTTCCAAATGGAAATCACAAGAACAACAAAAGAAACTGCGAGACATGAAATTGAGTTAGTACACAATTACAACAACAATTATGAGGGAAGAAGGCAATTTTACAATAAATTCTAAGACTAAACCAGGAAGGGTGTTAGTCTCATGAAGGAGCTTAAGATACTTTTTCGATTCTCAAAGGGAATATTATAGATCTAAGATCTAAGCTTTTTTTTTAAGTCTAAAATCTTACCAAATTCTTGTTTTAAGTTTAAAATATTAACAATATTAATAGTATTTAATATTATAACAACATGTAGAGTAAAAATAGAGCTACCCTTATCCCGAAAGTGTATTTGATAAAACTTTATTGCGTACAAAGAACTATGCCTGGCGGTGTTTGATGGCCAGCGGGGCATGATTGGTTAGTGCGGGGATTTTGTTCGAGATTGTTCGTTGTTTAAATGTAGGCAGAAACATGTCACTGCTTTTTAATTTAAATGCAAATTAAGGCCTTTGTCAACACTTTGCCAAACTCAAGACACGACGACGACAAATGCCTCTGGCAAGTGCAAGGAGGTCGGCTAAGGAATGACTCTATGGATTTATATATATGTTTAAACTATGCGAGTGCACTAAGGAAAATAAAAGCTATATAGAATGTAATTTTTATTTTATTTGGAAGTTAAAATAATAATAATAAAGTTGATAACTAATAGAGCTTGAATATAGAAATATAAACAGATTTAAACTTTCAGAAAACTTCAAAACTTTTTCTGATTCTTTCAAACATTCTTCATTTTTTCTCCCAGTTTCCAAATCTTTTCACATTCATCACTTGCACTTCCTTAACGCACACACACAGCCCCGCCTATATATCGCCACATCCAGTTGAGGTGCGAAGTGACCCGTGTGTTGACCCCAATGCCAAAGGGCTGACCGCATGCTCGGCCAAAACTGATCACGCCCAGCTGGAACATCCTTTCCCGCTGACGCAGGATCACTGGGCCACCGGAATCATACTGACAAGAATCCTGACCCCTGCCTCCAGCATCGTAGGTGCAAAGCTGACTGGGAGCTATGCTGGAGTTGAGACGACTACGGCAGACGGCATTGTCCATGGTCAGCAGGGTGGCCTTTTGCAGGGTATTCGATTTGGCAGCAGCAAAGCCTAAGGTTCCCCAGCCGGTGATGTCTACATTTTGGTAGTTAAAGTTGCTATCTCTAAGGGTTTCAAATAGTTAGTGATTATTATAATAGTAGTAGTTAAACTTACGCCTGTCGAATGGGCAGACAAATGGGTGCAACTCCTCGGGACCATTCCATGGGCGTTACCGTCTGGAGCAGAGCTATGTCGTTTATGTTATCAGAAGCAGTTTCCATATAGCCAGGATGGTTAATGATACTCTGAATGCGATGCTGAGCGGCATAAATAGATTCACTACCTATTCAAGAAATTTATAAATTAGTTAGCTAAAGTATTAGTTATTAATTTAAAACAAACTTGTGCTTAAGTCATGCTCTCCCACCAAAGCCAACAGCCTACTGGCAACCGGTTGCCTGGCAGTACAGTGCGCTGCCGTCATAATGAACCTATCGCTGATAATGGTTCCACCACAGAATATAGGCAGATTGGAGGACAGATCCCTTAAGCCCACCATTGAGGGAAACTCATGTTTCCCTGCCTCCACGCCATTGGCTATCCTGTTGGGGAAAGACCAGCCGCAATCGCAGGGCGCTGGACGTGCCACCGCCTGGCAGTTGAGTCTAGAACGCTGCTGGGTCTGTGGACTGCTGGAATAGTAGGCAAAGGCCATGCTCTGGAAGTTGGATATCCGATTGATCTGCCCCATGCGGCAGTAGCGTTCACCATCGCGAAACTGCAGATCGCCATCGCGGGAGATGAACAAGAACTCTGAGCCACAGGTGTCGGGGAACTAAAGGGTAAAGGATTTTTCCAAAGGCAGACAGTTTTTATTAATTTTGATTTCAAGAAAAGTAAACAGGATCTTGCAGAATATACTGCTTAAGTTTAGTACTCACCAACTCGAATCGACAACTCAGATATATCACATGATTGCTGGGAGCTTTCAAGCGAAATCGACAGTTAGTACCAGTTGGTATGGCTCCGGGATAGTTAAAACTGGTTATATTAATCATACGATTTGGTTGTAGATCATAGAACCTAGTGCACTGTTGCTGGGCACGAACTAAACTACTTAAGCTGACTAAGAAAGTCACGAGAAAAATCGAAAATTTAAGTTCGCACATGATGGCAGGGCTGACACTTCAGCTGTAAACTCAAAAAGCTATTGCTCAGCTTATATAAGAGCTCTGCAGACGATAAGATGAGAAGTTTGTAGTATATTTAATATCTTAACAAATATTTAAGAAAGTTAATATGGATTTTGAAGTCAAGGTGAAGAAATATTGCTATTTACTTTACGTTTAAATGCAGGCAAAAGATTATTTTGCAACAGTGAAGAAAAATGTTTTAAAAATAATTTTTAAAAATAATTGAATTCTTTTACTTAAAGAAATATATTTAAAATCTTATTTAATTACTTTACTTTACAATATTTTCAATAATATTTTATTTAATTAACTCTTTATAGCATTGGCTTCTCTGACTAGAACTATCTACTTTTGGTGTCCCTACCTTTAAGCTCAAAATAAGAAAGTAAATTCTTCCAATTCCCAAATAACAAAGCTTATTAAACAAATCTTTTATTTCCTTTACATGCTGACATCACAGTTGGAATAGCCGATCTTCTGATGTATCCAAGTTAAATACGACGTTACCCTGGTATTCACACCCATCGGATACTGTGATTCGGCGCAGCTCTTTCCGAAGCTGATAATTCCCACCAGGAACTGTTTGGACTTTCGCAGGATAACTGGACCACCGGAATCGAATTGACAGGAATCCCGTCCAGTTCCTGAATAATCATAAGTGCACATTTCGCCAGAGTATATCGTGGCTACATTTTTGTACTCCGTCTGGCAATCCTGATTGGTCGCCACATTCACATTGATCTTCTGCAGAGTCGAGGATGTGGGTCCGGCAAAGAAGATCGTACCAAAGCCAATAATATCGACTGTATCGTAGGTGAATAGTGAGGTTCTATATGGGATATTTAAGTTATATATTTATTTATTAATATTAAAACCTACACTCACGTTCCCACTGGCGGCAGACAGATGGGTCCTACTCCTCTTGACCATTGAATATTGCTGGCGGTTATCAGAACTCCAATATCGTTGTTGACATTGGGATCACTTACGTACTGCTCATGGGGTATCATCTGCTGGATGTTATATTGCTGATAGTACCTAGAACTGGAAGCTAAAAAGGGGTTTTTAGGGGGTTAATTATTTGCTATTATATATTTAAAAAAATTTTTGTATTTATGAAAGTATAAACTTACGATTGGCCAAATTATTGGTTCCCACAATGGCTACTAAGTCCGTAGCCTTGTTGACACTATAAATACAATGGGCAGCAGTCAGGATATAACGATGGGCCACTGAAAATAAAAAACATCGAAAATAGGATAAACAACTTTCTCAATTTTTAATTTACAGGTGTCTTAACCCTTATTTAACATATTTACTCACCTATCGTACCCCCACACAACGAAGCCTGATTATTGGTCACATCCTTAAGAGCCACATGGCTGGGATATTCATTGTCCGCTGCCTGCTGGCCATTAGCAATCCGGGAAGTGGCTGACCAGCCGCAGTTGCAGTTCTGCTTAACAGCGGTCAAGGTGCACTTGAAGTTACCGCCCTTCGTTCCGGTGGAAATATAAGCGAAAACCAATTCCGTGAAGAGGGATTGCCGCGAAAAGGTTCCAGAGCCGCAGAAATTTTCAGCTCCACGCATGAGAAGATCACCCTCGGTGTCCAGCCAAAAGTTATCCGTGTTGCACTGCCCATTATTCTGGATGGGGCGAGAAATAACCTTTAAGTATTTTCCATTATGAAAACTATATATCTTGGCCCACCGATGGCAGTCCAATAGTGCATTGCACTTGAATGTAATAGTCCAAGGGAGCGGTAAACTTATAGCGACAGGATGTGCCGCCAGGATAATTGCCGGGATAGTAGGGTGACTCCACGTAGGTGGTACCCGGATTCAAGGTATAGCTGTTATCACAGCCCTCGAAGTAGGCCAGAACAGCAGGAGCCAGTAGTACGATTAGACAGAAACTTAACATTTTGGCCATACCTTTCGGCAACGAAGCCAGAAGTCAACTGGGCTAACACGATAATGCCACCCACAGGTAATATCAGCAAAGACAACGAAAGCCAAAGCTAAAGCTAAAGCTATATCTATAGCTAGAGCTAATTAAATAAATAAAAGGCCGTGTTCCAGCGGATGATAAAAACAGTTGGAACTTGCCATAACGTATACGCCCTGTTGGAGAACGATTTTGCCCCCAGCTTGCAGTTGTGCAAATAAATACGTCTAGCACACCAATGACCTTGTCAAATGCATACCATATCGGCTTTGAACTTGGCTCATGCTGCCTTGTCATTTTCCATTTTCCATAGATAAGACTCAATGCACTTGAGTTAGGTCGCGTCGGGTAAGTTTTTCTTCCGTAATTTTATTTCTCTTTAGCCCGGATTTATTTTGGGTTATCCAACAGCTGTGCGAGTGCTGATAAGCCGAAGCCTTTGGCAAATAAACATTTCTGATGTATAATGAGTACTAATTAAAAGGCAAATAACCGCGAAAATAATAAAAGGCGTCAACGAACGAAGATCTGTTTAAATAGATTAAAAGTGAATTTACTTCTTCCCGTTGCTGCTGTTGGCTGCGAAGCAATTGATAAGATAAACAAGAAACAGGAACAGCTTTTATCATTTAGGCCTAGTTTTTAAAGGTATTTTATTTGCATTTAGTTAATTTAATGCTTCTATGAAATAGTAAAGGGGTTTAGGTTAAAGGCAATCATTTAGAGAGTAGTTACATTTCCCCTTAACTGCTTTCAATGATTTTTCTTTGGATTAAAAGCCATAGTAATGGCTACAATAGTTGGATTGACTTATGCAAAAACTTTGTTAAATTTTCTGAATTTTATTTAAATACAAAATAAAAAGTTAACCAACAAAGTTCATATTCTTCTATCTATCTGGCATAAGTTCATGTAGCAACCAAAAATGTGAGAAAAAACTGTTTGTTGATATTTAATTATGTTTACGCTTATGTATATTTGCATAGCTGTAGTATATTTACCCTAAAAGTAGCAGACGGAAATTTGTGATGATGAGGAAAAAAATGTGATGGAAAATTCAGTCAGCACAAAAATTAAATAAGCGCTAAAAATCAATTAGGAAAATCGTTGGAAAAAGAAAGCAAACCGTAATGGCTGACAAGGTGCGGCTAAATGTCGATGAAAATCAAGCAATCTGTCTATCAAAAATTGACTTTATGCAAAAATATCCATCCCATCGGGAAATATGTACATAAAAAAGCGCCTAAAAGCATGCAGCAGTTTTGTCACAGGATGCTCCGAGCTGTGTAATTATAATATGGAAACAAAATGTTGGCTTTATTTTTTTTTTCTCTGTCCTCAACACTTTTGATGCTCTGTAAGCCAACCAACTAACCAACCTCCCACCCCACTCTAATTTCCCTGCTGTGGTATATAGCGATCCAATGTCTATATTTTCTAGTGTCACACATCTTTTTGCACACATTTTCTGTTTTTTTTTCGTTTTTGTTTTGTTGTGGAACACTTTTTTGCCGTGCATTTGCATTTTCCACTAATTTGACTTTTGTATTGTTGCGGTCGGAGGTAGTCTTCCTCCCACTCAAACTCCCACACACATCGTTTTTCCCACCCACCTCCAGTTTATGTGTTAGAGTTTTTTCTGCTCCTTTTGGCTTTCCACCAATCGCAGTCCCCTTTTTCACATCTCTATCTATGTGTGTGTGACTGCGCGTGGGTATTGGTGGGTGGGCTGCGCTACGCACTTTTTGACTTTTCGTTGGGGAAAATGCGTTTTCATGCATTGGTTGGCTGACGAGTGGTATCCATTTTGGGGATGGGATGGGTTCGGTAGCTTGGTTAGTTTTGGGATTTTTTGGCCAAATCTCCCTTCATATATATAGCCTATACCATCTATGTCTATATCTCTCTTTTGCTTTAGCTGGCGTAGTGCATTTTCCCCAGAGCTTGTCATTTGATGTGGCTGTGACTCTGTGGCCATATCATTAATTGCCGTTAGCTGGTAACAGGAACTGGGCATGAAAAGGCTCCGAGAGAACACACAAATTAGTGGGCAACATGAATTGCATGAGGGGTAAAAAACAGAGTAGAAACTGTTCAATCAGAAATAGTGGGACAAATTGGCATATATTGAAAATGAAAATCTTGATTTGGAAAATTAGTAGTCTAGGCTTAGAGATGCAATTAGGCTTTTTTCGTTTATCAACTAAATATTGGAATATAAAAAGGGAAGATGATAATTAATAGGTTAGAATTATACTTCTTAGCTCTCTAATCAAATTTTTTTCCAGTTTCATATCAATGTAATAAGAATCTTATCTCATTTTACTAAGTATCTATCTAAATCCATCATAGCTATCATAGCAATCCTTAAGTAGATCCTTTAAGAAGCTACACTCATGGACAAAATAATAGGTGTGTTTTATTTTTCATTTTTAACTTTTTATTTCTAAGTCATGCTTTCTCCAATCAGCTCAAAACAAAGTTTTTTTAAAACGTATATTAATTGTCTTTTAAAGAAAAAAAGAAACAATACTATAAACCTTTTCAGTAACAACAGAAGTAGATTTTTTCCTAAGTTGGACATTTTTGGCTGGACACAATAATGGTGTAAGGAACTAAACGTATATAGTCTGATATATGATGTCTCAGTAGATAAAACTATATCTCAGTAAAGATCAAATATATTCATCGAGTAAAACTTAAGATCATTTTTAAGGACCTTTAAGACATAAAACCTTTAAAAAAGCTAGATTTAAGCTTCTCTAAACTGTATAGAAATATTTATATAATATTCCCCTTAAACTCTTATATTTTCTCATTATAGTTAGTCATACCAAACTTACTATGACCCTGATAAATCCGAAATCGTTAGCATTTGCAATTGGTGAACAGTAATTAGTGTTTCCTGGTCCATAATCCGTTAGAATCGCTGCATCCATCAAAGGCTCCATCTATCCTCCTCCACTGCATAGTTGATCCTCTGCCCACTATAACACTCTCCAAAAATTCACTTACAACGCATATAGACAGAACGGAAAACACATTCAATTTGCTGCACCTTCAATCACAATAAATCCATACAAATTTCCGTTCATTTTTTCTTCGTTTCTTTTTCTGCCTAGGCAGAACGCTTTTCAAATGCAAACTAAGCAAATTTTAATTAATGAAAAATTGCAATTAAAAAAGCGGCCATGGCTTTCTTTCTCCACCGCCAACTATCTCCCTCTGGCCAAGTACAGTTTTCCCATTTCCAGGTTAGATAAAAAATGGCCAAAGGAAAAGAGCAAGCAATCCGCAGGCAAACAAAAACACAAAACTGGTGTGCCCAGTAAATGTAGTAAAAAAACAGAAAAACGCACAGGGAGCAAGTACATATGGAGGGGTTTCTATATAGCGGGGAGTGGGGAGCTGGGTGCCAGTTGTTTTTGGGAGGTTTTCCCTTCTTTTTTTTATGAGCCAAGAGAGAGAGAGAGGAGGGGGGTTTCATGCATCTAAGCAAAGCTCTGTCGCTGCCAGCGTCGGCGATTAACATAAACACGCAAAAAACATTAACAGAGAGCCTCGATTTTCCAGCCTCAGCCTCAGCCTCGGCTTTCGGCCAACGGCAACGCAGTTAGAAAAGCCAAGCAAGCAAAAAAAAAAAGATGTGTTGTACAGGGAAAAACTAAGGCAGAGGCTAAAAAACAAACCAACAACTACAACAACCTAGAAAAAAAAACAAATATTTCATACATAGATAACGCGGCGTATGTGTAATGTGCGAATGGGACGCCAGATGGCGAACCGAGCTGGCTGCCTCTCATTCTGGCATTCGCTCATTACACTCATTTCGCATAGTTTGGGGCTGGCGCATAGGCAATTTTCCATTTTCCGCACACACACACACCGACGCTCACTCACACCGCACCGCAGCACCCAAACCCAATCACAAAAACGCGTTAATAAGAGGAAAACGTGGCGCAAAAAACTACACACAGATGCGGATATATGTATAAAGATATATATATATATATATATATTGGAGGGAAAGAGCATTTTCCCCCAGCAGCTGGCTCGGCCAATCGCAGAATTTGTTTACGAATCGTCCGGCAAAAGCAACAGAAAGAAAACACTTGGGGAAAAAGAAAAATGCTCACCAAGCTCTCCCATTTTCCGCTCTCTTTCTCTCTCACTCCCTCTCTCTTCTCAGCGCTCTCCCTCTCGCGGCACAGTTTTTATTTATCGTTTTTTCTTTTTTTTTGGAAAGCCACGTGTCTAGCAAATCTCTCGCTCTCTTAAACGCCGCGTTCTCTCTTTGCTTCGTTGAGTTTTTCACGCGTTGGGAGGGCAAACGGGGAAATGCATGAAGGAGGGGGCTGGCAGGTTGGAAAACCCAAAGGAGAGCGAAGGGAGAAAAGCGGGCGGCTTTGGTTGGCTGGCAAACGGGTTTCTGTCGATTGACGTTTTAGTTAATATGGTCAACAAATTTTAATTGAATGGTCCATGTTTGTAAATGTTTGATGAATGAGAATGCAGGAGGAGGAAAGGCGAGCGACGACCGACCGAGACTCAACCGAATTTTATTGGATTTCCCAAAATGTTGGCAACATAACAATTTATTTACCAACCAAATCCGTTTAAAAGTAAATTTAATTTTACATAACAACTTTTTTACAGCTGTGAGATGTTCTTTATAGGAGTTTGGGAAATGATGAAAGGAAAACTTAATAAAACTTATTTGTTAGGGGATAAATTATATAAATTTTTTAAAAATATATAGAAGTTAAAAAAATGATGAGTATACATTTTCTAGAAACTTTAAGCTCTAAGATTATTGTTTTTGCTTTTTCTAGAATTTTTTTTACCATAAAAATAAATTAAAAATGGTTACTTTTCCTTAATTTAGACTTTCTGCTGTTCTTGAATGTAAAAAGTCCTTAAAAACTCTTAAATAAGCTCCTTCATTTTAAGTTTTTAATAATTTTACAAGGATTTTACATTCACTATTTATGTGTTTTCCTTATTTAACAGATTATTTTAATACCTTTAGCCTATTGCTAAAAGCTTATCCAAATATTACTAGTTATAACCACATTTTTAAGAAAAGAAAATCATATTAAGGTACCTGAAATATTTAGTAACCCTTACAAAAATAAGTATCTATAAATAAGTTCAACGAAGATACTATAATTACACAAAATTACCACAAAACCCTTCTTTTCATTACTCAACCA